TATTTCCTAACAAATCAGCCACTACCCTATACCTTTTTATTTTTCTCTCCATACCACGGTTGCCTGTAAGACATTGCCTCTGAGCGATAAGGCCGCCGCTTGTACTTGTCTAACCTAGTTTAATTATATATATATATATATATATATATATATATATATATATATATATATATATATATATATAAAAGCGATATTATTATTATTACACCAGAATGGTGTTTAATGAAACCATAAGAGTGATTTGTAAATACTCAAATAAATGTAAACACATCAACAATTGTACATCATTACATCTTATAAAATAAAGCCACATCCTCGTAGACAGGTCGTAGCGGAACCAACTACGGAACGCTTCGAATTGTCTTTTTGTATTGTGTTAGAATTTAAGCATCCATTTTAGAGAATACATACCTACAGGCATTTGCCACACTTCAGTTGTGAATGAATGTTACGGTTGTCTGAAATGTTTCTGTTCTCAATATGGATATAAAATTAGGAAGAAATAGCGACGGTGAGCAGCCTAGGTACGTGCACTCATGCTACTTGCTCACGGGCTATTATTTTTTGAAAGAAAGATTTTACAACTTTGCTTCATATCTTTGGTTTTATAATTAGACAATAAGTTTCTCTTGCGAGGGAGGGATTTGTAAATAATATCATTTTATATGTAATGAAGTTTCTAAACATTTCAACAAAGTCAGTGTGAGGTCTATTTGCAACAAAGTAATATACAAAAGACGTAGCTAAATATATGTTGTGTAGTAGGTACTAAGTATAAATACTTAGGCAACTTTATTAATGTATAATGAATAACAACTTTACAGCTTTAGATAGCTTTAGTTACATACGGTTCAACGTTATCCAGCATTTTTTTAATAGATTTCATTTGACATCAGTTACAAAGTTTTGGAACGGTCAGTCAGAACAGTCAGATCAAAATGTGTTTAACTGTTAACTACCAGTACCAAGTAATAATTAATAATAGTTTCTATTAACAGTTACAACACCAGATATATTGGACCTCGTGTTCAGGTCCACCATGTCCATTCTTCCACATGGAGGTTAGAGGATCTTAGACACTTGGAGAAAAGCGCTCTTCTGTTAGACTTCGATTAGACTAAGCATTATATTCTTAGCACCAGATAAGAGACGGTGGTAAGGGAAATCAACAAGCTAAATGAAGAGAACAGTAGGCTTTTTGGTAGGCTCTGGGGGGGGCCCCTTTACCATAATTTAGTTTACCTTTGTTCGCGGCTCCGCCCGAGTGTATGTTGGTTCTCCCAGTAAAAGGTGTCCTATGTCACTCGCTGATAATGTTGCTTTCAATTAGGGAAAGAATTTTAAAAATCGGTTTAGTGGTTAAGGTGAGAAATAGTTTCTCGTCTTAACCACTCACAAACAAACAAGCAAACTCACTTTCTTAGTATCGAAATATGGATTACAATATCTACAAAAGTAATAATTGTAATGTTTAGTGACAAATTGAAATGTGGTAGGAACTTTCTTGTACTTCTTTAAGGCTTTTATTGCCTTGCCTGCTACCTGCCCGAAACGACCTTTTTATAATTTGGTGGCCAACAGTGAAGACAAAAGCTTCATAAACAGTTTTGTATGTTTTAATTTAGTTTGTGCGAAATTTCGGTAAACAGTTTTAGTTTCTGAAGAAATATTGAAATCATTAAAAACACTTTTTAATAGGTACCTTATCTGTGCCAATATTGTATTCATTGTGTGAACGTTTGTAAAGAGCCAGATGCTGGAATAAATAAAAAACTACCCGCATCGTCGTTTTGTTAACAAAGGGTTTTAGAACGGGTTTATACTAATGATACTAAGAAGGACTAAGTTTTTTATAGAACCTATTATCTTTGTTTATCAATTATGTTTCAATAGTTCTACGAAAAAATTGCACATAATGAAAATAACTGTATCGCATTCAAAGTTTGATAAGTTTCATATTAAGCAAGTACATATTATTTGTTATTCTGTAAGTTAGACATTGTTGGCTGGCATTTAGATACGTATTCGTTTTATCTCTGAGCAGAGACACATTCTAGTATTCACAACCAGTTCAAATATATTTCAACACAGTACAGGCGAAAGTCCGTGTGATGACGGATTAAGAATACGGATTGTAACCACCCCTATTTATCCCGTGGGTGTCGTAAGAGCCGACTAAGGGAGCACACTTCGCAGGACAACAGCACTGCAAAGAGAAGGAAAACTTGAAACAAACCCTATATCAACACGTCTGGCTATCATGGTATAGTAGGCCAAAACCTAATTTCTAAGGTGAGGCCTATGTCCAGCAGTGGACTGTTATAGGCTGTTGATTATGATGACAGGCAAAAGTTAAGGTCTTGTAATTTTATTGAACCGTTTTATACGTTACCTTATAAATAATAATAATGTTTTTTGTTCTTCATCATTAATATTCTTTATCATATGTATATTGAAACAATACAGAGATGAGTCATGATGTTTTATATTCAGCACAATTCCTAGTCGCCACAGAAAAAAAAAGAATATCCAATCTGAATCATACCTATTTTACGCAAAACATGTAACTTTTCCTTTTCTCCTAATATCTAGTATGCTGTTTTCAGAGATCTATAATAGTTTCTAAATAATGCAAAGACTTTAACTAATAGTGCTCGTAGAACCAATATAACTTAGCATGTTCTAGCTTACGAATGTATTTTTCCCTATCATTACTTAAACCGTTTATTGTTCAAAAAGTAATTACCAGAATCCTTTCCTAATCAAGTAATTACCAGAAAAATATACATGTTTAACTAATCATTTTTAATTATTTTAATGAGTCGATTTCATTAAGGGTCAATACGATTTCAATGACTCATAAGTACCTATACTATCAGTACGTATTAAATCGAAAAAGACATGTTTGTTTTAAATATCATGATGTAAATTTTTGCAGATTTTTTTTCTTGGGAATTCAGCAAAATTTATTTTGCTCACAAATCTGGAATTTTGTGTACCTACGTGAACTTACGTTTATGTTTTAATTTAAAAAAAACTAAAGCGGATATAACAATACTTTAAATGACGCAATTTATTTGTATTTTGATGCACATAACAAATTTTAAAAGCCATGATAAATTGAAATCTGTTAATATTTTATTCCCCGTCCCTAAATTGCTAACCATAGGCAGTAAAACAGTGAATATCAGTTCACAAACGGAGAACATACAAACACAAACAGAAAACGAAAGAAAGTCGGTCGTACCGAGAACCTCCTCCTTTTTAAAATCGGTTAAAATCTATTGCTCTTTATAAAGATAAGTATTTCATTAATTTCGTTTACTAAATATCATTGCAGTGTTATATACAAATAACGTTATGCATGATTTCAAACATGGAACTATTTACATACCTAGGTATTCTATTAACTTAGCTTCAACACACAACCGCGTGAATCCAAACACACACATGGGGTTGTGTGTGTGTTGTTTCCTACAAACCCATCATTTGTATATTCGTTACTGGTGATTTAACGAGATTTGTATTGTTTCAGATTAAAATGGCAAAATTTCAAAATCACAACAATTTAAAGGTCCTGGTATCCACCCCTACTGTAACAGGTTAGTTGTTTACATCACAATAGACCCTTAGACACCCGAATCTGTCTGTGTGTATACGTTTATGTTTCCAGGAAAGTTTGTATCTTGCATTATTTTTCCAATATTTGTTTGATCAGGACCAACACCTACTAGGGTGTTAACGAGTTGCCTGGAGCAGTATGGGGTCTCCGAGTCGGCACTCGAAACGAAACGCCGAACGGAGGTGCTGCGTCTGTTGCAGTACATTTTTAGGCGGTGGATCCTTCAAATTTCGATCATGCAAAATACGCCACGCAGCGCAGCGGAAAAAGTGGGTGGAAAGGTATACGCGTTCGGATCATTTCAACTTCGGGTTAGTATATTAATTATCGTTTTTATTAGTTTACATCATTCTTATATATAATGTAGGTACATTAGAAACGACACGACATGACAGAAGGAAAAATGTGATTGAGATCACACTAGTACCTACTGTGAGTTCTGTGTTCGAATGGTACTTGAAATCATTTCATTTATAATATCATTGGCGTACGGGTAAGTAACTTGTAACACTCATCCGCGAGTGAATATGACCATATGTAGTATAGGTGTTCCTAAAAGCATAGTGCGTATTTTATATAATTTACCTTTTTATAAAAATAAATAAATCGTCATTTTTTGTCTTAGCATTCTCCACTTGATAACAATTATATCAAAGCAAATCTCCCCTTCTGTGCTGTCCCTTTCTCATAGTTGGTGTCAACAGATATTATAACCAATTTGTGAAAAAGCAACTTTTAAATATCCAGGTCAGGACTTGCAATCAGTACAAAGTGCTTTTATACCGCTGATCAAGCTCAAGATCGACGGGGTTGAAGTCGACCTTCTCTTTGCCAGATTGGCATTGAGGGAAGTGCCAGGTATGGATTCTTTACTAACTCTATTTAACGAGTTATTTAAATATATGGGACAAATATTCTGACAGTGACCTTTTGCTCTAGTGGTTAGTGATCCTGACTGCTAAGGCAGAGGTCGTGGGTTGGATTCCTACCCAGGACAAATGTTGTGTTAATATTTGTTATTTTAAACACGCCTGATTTTTAACATGCAGTTTTAACATGTGTACATCCATAATTGCACAGAGCAATAATTATTCTAAAATACGTTAGAAATCACTTTGTATATATCTGCCTGAATTTTCAAAGTAAAACATATGTTAATTGTTTTATAACCAATATTCTCTTAAAACTATGTGCGACATTCTGTTTATATAATTTGACAAAGGTAATTTAATGCCACCTATTATGTTTAATTGACAATAGTGTATCTAGATAACTACAATCTTGACGAGAAACTTACGTGTGTGTTAATAATAATAACAGCTTATATTTATTATTAATTTTATTATGTGTTCTTTGTCATTAACAAGCTCTAGTTAAGATGCAATGTGATATATCTCTAAAACTAGATCGCGGAGTCTACAGCAACATCCTGGGGTACTCGGGCGGTGTGTCGTGGGAGCTTCTGGTGGATCGCACGTGTCAACTGAATCCCAACGCGCCGCTCCAAACATTGGTGCACGAGTTCTTCGTGTTATTCAGCCAGTGGAAGTGGCTAGAGCCAGTGCTGCTGAAACAGACTGAATCAGAAGACCTAGGGTTAGCTGTGTGGGATCCTAAAGTCAGCATAACGATTGTCTATATGTCAATTTATTTATAATGCTAAATACGAACTATTGTTACAAGTTTTTTATTAGTCGCTTTACCTAATAACGTTGTATTAGGTTTAAGCTCTTGTCTGTACTTATTATATAAATCAAGTAGGTAGATCTTGCTTGTAAATTCAGATATCATAAATTGCAAAATGACTTCAGGACTTTAGATATTAAAGGCCACAGATATATTATGTTCATTAAACGAGTACAGCTTTACGTAGGTACCACACAACAGTGCATTCAAAGTACACATTAACATAATTTGTACTGAACCACAGTGTACCGCGTAGAACATGCTAGGTGGACAAAATTCATGTTATCATTTCCAGGAAATCTTATTTGCAAAACGTAAACAATACCCCCAAACCCCGAATTCCGAGAAAATGTTGTTCGTCAAATTCGCAAGTGGTGAGTCATAAGGGTCAGAAGTCAGGTAATGAGTTTAATGCAACCCTTTCAATCAATCAGTTGCAATTTAGCGATACTTTCGTGCACATCTCATAGTGGCATATTGTAATATTGTGAAAGTTTTTGAGATGGATATTAATACTGAGGGTAAGTACTATTTTTTAATGTATTTTTTAAATCATAATCTATTAATTTGAATTATCAGTATTTCTTTTAAATAGCCTATACGTTTTAGCGTATTTTTTTTATAAAAAAAAACTTTGATAGGTCAGAATATACAGACATTCACCTCTATCCGGGCTAGTTTTTAGATATTACGTAGAAATAACTTTATTATTCGTAAAAATACACATATTGTTTAGCACACTTCAGTACAACATGTTTTTTTTCTTTTTTTTTCAGAACACGTTTACTCTATTTCAAGGGTAGCCTTTCTTGAGGAGTGGTTGAAACACACGAAGAATGAAAAAAACTCGCGCGTATATGACTATCTTTCTTCAAAATTTCACTTTGGTGACATTACTGAAAGCAGCCAAAAGAAATAAAGTTGAAGATATCTAACTTGTCTAATAAGATTGGTGCCAAATGGTTGGCTTCAGGAAAGTCGAAGGAGCGTTTTTTAATTAAAAATAAGACTTGGTTGGATGAAGCAGACATACAGTTTACTGTGAGTTCTTTTGCGCCACAACCTTCGACATCAATTGAGGCTGTGACTTCTGCAGGAAGGCCTCTCAAAGATTTCGAGAAATCGTCGTTTAAGACGGAGAAACGTCGCGTCGTGGATCTCGTAGAATCTCGAAGTGTCAGTGAATTGCTGACTGCTGCCGAAATTGCTGTGCGTTCAGCAGGGCAAAGGAAAATTGCCAATGTGATTAGAGACATTAGTGAGAGCCCAAAAAATACTATTAAGTCTAAAAATACCATTGAAATTTAAGAACGAGATGGGACTTATTGTAGATAAGCCAAAGCCAGGATTTGGTTCTTCAAATGATGGAAATACAGCCCGTCGCTTTTTTAAGAATGCTGAGATGAGTGCTCAGATCACAGGGTTGGATGTTACAATTATAAAAAAGTTTGATGTTATTTTGAGGACATTGTATTCTGGATTCGAGATAAACTTAGTTAAATTCAATAAATTTTGTCTGGAAACCAGAAAACATTATCTTAGTCTCTATTCGTGGTACTGTATGCCTGCTACTGTGCATAAAATATTAATTCACAGCACAGAAGTCATCAAAGAGGCATTGCTTCCAATTGGGCAGCTTTCCGAAGAGGCTCAGGAAGCACGGAATAAAGATTTTCGCAGATTTAGGGAGTACAACATCCGCAAGTGTTCGCGTGTTGCCACGAATAGAGACTTACTGTCTATGTTAATTATAACATCTGATCCTTTGATTAATAGCCTTCGAGAGATTCCCAAAAAAAAGCTGGAAAAAATATGTACAGATAGATGTATAAAGATAATTGTAAGCCTAACCTAGCATAGAAAAGTCCAGACTGGAATCGTCATCATACTGTCGCACAATGCCACAAAATGATGATGATTGTATAATAAAGTGATAGTACAACTAATTACTGTATAGTAAACGACTCATCAGAAGACTCTGATAATGATTATTAGGTTATGCTACTTTAGTTATGTTGTTAAAAATTTTTGTTTGTTTATATATTATTTTTATTAGTATAGTATATATATTAATTTAATATGATTATTGGACGCTAATTGTAGTATGTACTAAGCATGTCGTGCTTGTACTAAGCATGTAAACCTTGACTTGTAAATTTTTCTTTATCAATAAATATTTGAGTATTTTAAATATATTTTTCTGATTAAAAAAATAGTTTTTTATTAAAAAATAAAACAAAAAACTGTAAATAATATCTAAATATGACTACCTCTATGTAAAAGCATCTTTATATAACATAAAATAATTTTGTCCACCTAGCATGTTCTACGCGGCATACTGTGTGAACGCTTGAAGCTCGATACTGCAGTTTTTAACGAAGTTTTGTGATATAAAGGCTTTTTTTAAACATTAGTATTTTCTGTGTGTTCTTAGATTTTATACCTACCGTGATGCTTCCCTCACTATTCTGTATGTTGTGTCTTATAATAATATTATATTGTGTGGTGACTGGAATATTGACATGCTTACAAATGAAAAAAATACGAAAGACTTGCAAGCCATTTTAGATAACTTTAATTTAAAAAACCACATATTATGTCCGACTCGTCAAAGTTTCTGTATTGATATTATAGCGAGTAATTTACCCTCCGTCAGACCCAATATACTTATGCTGGCATTATCAGATCACAAAACAGCTCAAACTATATCCTTCGAACACACTTGTAATATACCTAAACAAAATCTGTTTTGGTTTGAAAAAAAAAAGAGACTTCGCTAAAGCTTACATTAATAAATTCATTACATGTCTATCTGCCCTCTCATTCAACGAAGTATATGCATGTGATGATACAGAAGAGGCTTTTAATGTATTTCACGATCTCTTTACTTTATTTTATGATCTATGTTTCCCAACTATTACTGTTAAAATATCTAAAAAGACTAAATGCCGATGGATTTCTAAGGGACTTAGAAAATCTAGTAAGCATAAACGTCGTCTCTATCTGCAATATAGGTTCTCTAGGACAAATAAAAAAAAACATAAACTTATATATTCTAATTATAGCAAAGTGTTTAAAAAATGTATTATACAAGCACAGAAAGTTGAAAGTCTGAATTGCAACAAAAATGCCAATAATAAGTGTAAAGCAGCGTGGAACATTATAAAAAATAATGTGTGCGATAAACGGAGCACTGGTTGCATAGCGTCAATAAAACTGAATGGTACGGAATATTCAAATCCGAACCAAATAGCACAGCAGTTAAATAATTATTTTATAAACTTGACATCCCCAGTTATAAGCTCTGTACCAAAATTAAATGTTTCGAATATAACTACCTACCCCTATATAATTAATAATAATTTTGATAGCATTTTTTTGACTCCTGTAAATGATTTTGACATTTTTAAAGCTATTAACTCTTTACATAACACTAATTCGATAGGCTATGACCACATCAGAACTGACATCTTAAAATTATGCGCCAAAATAATTTCTGCTCCCTTATGTTATATTATTAATTTGTCACTAAATGCAGGGACACGTACCTGCTAGACTAAAACTATCGGTTGTCAAACCTTTGCATAAGACGGGCGATACAAATGACATGAATAATTATAGACCCATTACGTTGATTCCAATATTTTCAAAATTATTTGAAAAAGTAATGCATATTAAATTATATGGATTTTTAGAAAAAAATAACATTCTCACACCTGAACAACACGGTTTCCGAAAAGAACACTCTACTGCCTTGGCATGCTTTACTTTAACGAAAGTAATTGCTGACAATCTCTATATAAAAAATAACATAGTATCAATATTTCTTGACATGTCCAAGGCTTTCGATTTTGTAAATCATAAATTGTTACTCCATAAGCTTGAGAGATATGGAATCCGTGGAAAAGCACTAGATTGGCTTAAAAGCTACTTAGATAACAGATATCAATGTGTAGAGATATCAAGCATTTCTGGTAAATATAATACATCCTCTAGATCCGAATTTAAACGACTAAATAGTTCTGGGGTACCTCAGGGGAGTATTCTAGGGCCTTTATGGTTTATTTTATATATAAACGATTTACCGAATGTGACTGAGCATAAATGCGTACTATACGCTGATCCGTTGCTATCAATCCGTTCGCGGCACTGTGCGACTAACGTGTGACTTCATTTGCTAACAATTTAAATATTGTTTTCTGTGTTTTTCTGCGACTAGTTCCCGGTTTGCGGGCGGCTAAAGGTTGTGTATAGTGTTTTAAAGAATATCAGTAAGTTTTTATTGTTTTTTAAACAGAAATATAGTGCTGAATTATTTTATTACGACTATTGGTGAGTAAATTTATTTTCTTTCTAAAAGTGGGTAGGAGGTATCCTTTGTTTATATTGATTTTTCTCTGCGTATTGTTTATTTTTAAACTTGTTCCTTTTGAAATTGTTGTTTGGTGTGTCTTTGTTTGGCTATGTCGGTCGTTAGCGAGTTGCCGGACCCCGGCGGTACAAGTGAATTTCTAACACCAACCGGGAAAAGGACATTTAACGAAATGTCACCTACGGATTTCTCGCCGAAAGACAATAGAAGTAAACGAATTAATAATTCGGATTTAAGTGGAAATGTTTCGTCTCTTAACGGTCGTGATAACTGTGGGGAATACAATTACTGCGAGTTAGTCTCACAGGCTACCGAGTACTTGGCAAAAATCAATGAATTAGTTAATGATCAGGGATCTCGGATGAATGTAGGTAATAAAACGGCAATTATGGATATTACTCAACGAATTACCGGTATCGTATCTTTGTTAGCAATAAAATCCTCTAGCAACGAAACGAAGTTAGCGAATTTTGAGCGACAAATGGAGGGTATCGCAACTCAACAAACGAGTTTAACGTACGCGGACAAACTTAAGCTTCGATTACCACCTAAATCTGCTCCGTGCCCGGTACCTACTGAAGCGCGCGTTCCTAGGCCTT